TTCAGCCTGTAAAACTATTCCACAAGGTCACTGGTCATGGGGGGTCCACCCAGTATGATCCTACTGAGGGGATTATATTCTTGGCAGGCTTCATGGTCTTAAATTTGCACATCCCTTTTCCAGGATTAATTTCTGAGCCATCTGATTTAGTTTTAATCTTTCCTAAGTGCCAAGCTTGGTGAAGGCTTTTAACAACCTTGCACTGGTTGGCAGTTGGAAGAAACAGCTTTCTGACATCCGGCCACTCTTTCAAAGTTTCCGTTTCAGTGGCTTTCAGTACAATCGCAGAGTGGTGCAGCCGTCACCACCAATTCCAGAACATCCCATCACCATGAAAGGGCGTCCCATCTGTCCCCAGGAGCAGTCACCTCGTCCTCTCCCCAGCCCCTGGCACCGAAGACTCCACTTCCTGTCTCTGGATTCTCCTGTCCTGGGTGTTTCCTATTCTTGGAGTACCACGCTGTGCATCCCTCTTTATCTCAGGTCTCGCAGAGTGCAGCATCCTCAAGGTCCGTCCACACTGTAGCAAGTGTCACAGCCTCAGTCCTTTTCCTGGCCCGGTGATGTTCCGGGGTGGAGACAACCACACCGTGTGCATCCACGCGTGGACACTCAGCTGTGCCCACTTGGTAGCTGTGTGATCAGTCCCACTATGAATGTTCATGCCTAGGTTTTGTTGCTTGAGAGGGCATAGTTCCTTGAGGGAGGACAGCAAGCCTTCAGCTCTAAGATTAACAAGCTTATTATGTTCAACAGCCTAAAATCCATGAGGTTAACATTTGTGTTCAAAAACATATTCGCTGTCTTGAGCACTTAATGTTTGGTAGAAACACCAGGTGAGCCTGCCTAAAATAGCTTGCTTACAAACAAGGTCACCTCCAGGGACAGAGTTCCCATATTTAATGTCTGTCAAGTGTTTGAGGAGCGACCAAGACATACGGCTAATGTTTAAATTTTAAACATGTATTACAGAAAAAGGTGCATTGCCAGCCGGGTGTGGTGGTGCACACCTGTAACCCCAAGAGGCTGAGGAGGCATTGTGCATGGTTCCTGGCCTCAGCCTCAGAGTGACTGCAGGCATGTGCCACCACACCTGGCTTCGTGCCATTTTCTGAAGCAGTTCTGAGAAGTCCTATTCTGTGCCTTTCCTAGGGGTGATCAAAAATATGAACACTGCTGCTGAGTGCCATCCAATGGAAGGGCAGGCTCATAAAAACATGACACTCTGTCCTCATCCACGTTATTCACCAGATCTGGCACTATACAACTTCTGGTTCTCCCCCGAAGTCAAAATGATCATGAAAAGTAAAAGTTTTGAATTGAGTCAGGACATTGAGGCAGCCACGGCCCCACAACTAAAGACAGGAAGGAAACTGCTTTAGAAAATGGCGTAAACGATGGGATAGGTAGGCAACGGGGAGGCGAAAAGAATTAAGGTGTGTTATGTACCTGTGCCAACTCCCCACAATGAATTTAATCATTAGGTACTGTGGACATGTACGAAAAAGAAAAGAATGATGAGATAAGTGTGTTTGAAGTGAGCAGGGGTACTTTGAGGGGGATTCGTGGCAATATGTCTTTTACTGTAAAAAAATAGTTTTAAAAATCACCATTTCCATGTCCAAGCACAGCTCTGGAAATTCCCAGGGGGAGGATGGTGGAGGATGAAGAAAGGAAGGCAAGAGTCAGAATGCAGAAAGCTGAGGTCAGGTGGAGCCTCCTCTCCTGGTGGAAGAAAAAGGACCCCCCAGTGACTGCGGCACATTTATTTATACACTCGGGAGGTTAACGTCAGTTGAAACCCCTCTGCCTAACAACTTGTCTGACTCGACTTGGGCACCTTGTGTCCTCAGGGCTGGAATAGCTTGTTCACGTGGCTTGCCTGGAGTGCTCCATGTTCTCAGGGCTGGCCTTGCTTTAGCCCCCCATGTGTGACTGACCTCCAGCTTCAGCCGCTCCTCACATACCATATGTTTTGATCATACCTTGTCTATTAAGCCCATGGCCAAACCCTGTAGGAAAGGACCTAACATAGTTTTGCACACTGTGCCCGTGGGTGGGCAGGTTCCTGTGGCTTGGGGCGGCTTTGAAGAGCATATGCACCTTCCCCCCGGGCAGCCTGACTCTCTGACCCATGGGATGGAGGGATGCAGCGTCTTTAAACTGATGGGGCCCCAAGGCTCAAGGTCTCCCACTGACCTTGTACTTGGCCTTCCTGGGGCCTTTGGTGCTGCCAGAGAGACTCCCAAGGCCAAGCGGCCACTTTCCCCTTTCTGGTTGACTTGGCCTCTTAACTTTTTAGTGACAAGAAGCAGGAGGGTAAGCTCATGGTGGCCCAGGGCCTTGTAAAGGATCTGGAGTCCCTTTTCACTGGAGTGAGGTAGAGCTGGCTGTTGCCCTTAGTAACAAGAATAGCCTGGAAAGAGATGTGATGGAGCTCAGGTCCCGGGTGACCAAGGTAGGTAAGGGGAGCTGCTGTGGGTCATCCCGAAGTGGATATGAGCACACCCACAGCACGTTGTCCTGTGTCTCCCAGGCCAAATGCAACTGGAGAAGGAGACGCTGATGCGTGTGGACCTACAGAACCGCTGCCAGAGCCTGCAGAAGGAGCTGGACTTCCAGAAGAGCGTGTTTGAGGAGGGGTATGTGTGTGTGGCTCAGCCGTTGGCTACAAAGGCCTGATCACGTCCTGGCTGCTGTGGTCAGTGGCTGGAAACGACTCAGGTCTGTCCTTCCACGGTCCTCGAGACCCCAGGTCCAGGGCAGGGGCACACTCCCTGTAAGTTCCAGGGAGGGTCTTTCCAAGCTCTCCCAGGGTCTGGGCTCCAGACGTTCCGGGGCTTGTGGTTTGACTCTCTTGTCTTCTGTCTTCACGTGGCCTCTTCCTGTCTGTGTCCCTCTTGCATGTATCTCTTTAAGGACTTTCATCATCAGATTTAGGGCCCACATGAATAATCCAGAACCTCCTCTCAAAGCCCTCACATCAGTCACACCTGCGAAGATGCTAATAAGTTTCACTCATGGGTTCTAGGGGTCAGGATGTGGACAGTTTTGGGGGCCCCAAAAGGAAGGGAGAGGACCATTTACTCCCCTCTGAATTCTGGATGCCCCTCTATCCCACCTCAGCTACATTCTCCCTCCCTACAGCCTCTAATCTCTGGGCCTCTGGCCGTGTGGGACAATTGGGGCTGGCTCAAATTTAGCACCAGGTCCCTGTGCCTTCTGGGACTGGCTGTGGGAGGGGCCTGGGCCCGTGGGATCCTCTGGTGGGACCCTGCCCATCAGAATCCATCACGGGGCCACCTCAGGCAGTCAGTACACAGGACGCTCCCAGCTGGAAGGATGCCTGTGTAGGTGTGGAGCTGCGCCTGGCTTCCGAGAGGTGTAGGGAGAGAGTGACCTGCCAAGGGAGCCCAGGAGGCCACCAGGGCAGCAGCCAGGAGACCTGTGAGGGAAACTGGACCCATCAGGGAAGCCAGGAACAGACCCACAAGGGAATCTGAACCTATGAAGGAAACTGTAGAGAGATCCATGGGTGAACCAGACACTTCAGGGAACACACCCATGAGGGATGGAAGTCATAATAGAACCCGTGAAGAGACCCACGGGTGAACCCGGACCCACGAAGGAACCTGTGGAGAGGCCCACAGTGGAACCTGAGCCTGTGGGGGAACCTATGCAGAGTCCTATGAGGGAACGCAGATCTGTCAAGAAAACTATGAAGCAACCCATGAGAAAACCGAAACCCAGGAAGGAACTTGTAGAGAAACCCAGGAGGGAATCAAGAAAAATCAAGAGACCTATAAAGAGACCCACAAGGGACCCTGAACCCATGAAGGACTCATGTGAAGAGATTTATGAGGAGCACTGGGCACAGCGGGGTTCCATGCAGTGGGCCCAGGAGGCAGAGGGTCAGCCAGGTGTCCACCCCTCCAGGGTCAGTTCTGGGGTACTGGAGGATACAGAGGCAGGACCTCGAGAGTGATGAGATTGACTATAAGTTCACACCCAAGTACATCTGGTGGACTGGCCAGATGGTCACGGTAGGTGGCAGCAGGAAGAGACGGGTGGGTGGGAAGGAGAGGAAGGCAGAGGGCAGTGGAGGGGGCACCCCAGGTGCAGGGAGGCCTGGGATGCTGGACTCAGCTTCAGGCTTGCTTGGTTTTGCACCACTGTCCATGGATGAGCCCAAGTAAGGTGGAAGCCAGGGCAATGGAGAGGACCACGCATTCTCGGGTCCTCAGGTGTGGGGCAGGACACTGGGGTGGAAGGCCAGAGCAGCTGTGGCACCAGTGAGAGCTTCCACACCATCCTGATCAGAGCCTGTGGGGAGGTGGATGCGGGACCCAGGAGGGGCTCAGGTCCTGTGTGTCTAGCACCTGCCTTCTGGGTGCCAGAATTCTCCAGTGAAGCTGGGGCCAGTGGAGCCCCTGCAGGCAGCTCTGGCCTGCTCCTGGGTGGCACCTGCAGGGCAGGGGGCTGAAGTGTGGCTGAGTGCAGGTGGCCCTCACCTGGCACAGGAACTGAGAGTGTGACGCGGACCTCAGCGGTGTGGGAGAACGGGTAGGAGGAGGTGGAAGAGGCTGAGTCTGGCAAGGAGGAACTTTTCCACCAATAGGTAGAGCGCCTGCACCCGGAGAGGTGGTTTTTGGCTTTCTTTTTCCGGTATCGGGAATCGAACTCATGACCTTACGCTTGCCAGGCAGGCGCTGTGCCGCTGAGGTAAATCTCCAGCCCCGAAACACTGGTTTTAACTGCTGCTTCCGGCTTGACCTGGAAGCCTAGAAGCCAGGGACTAAGGAAGCCGGTCAGATGTCCTAACGCCCGCCCATTCATTGCCTCTCCAATCAAGCCAACGTGCTGAAAGGGCATGGGCGCCCTGTGCGCATGCGCGTTCTAGGAGCCCAGAGGGCTGCTTTCTCTTCGCAGAGTAGCAACCAGATCTAGTCGCGCATGAGCCAAGGGCCCCGCGCGGCCTTATGGGTGTTAAATTCTGGACTCTGTTTCCCATGGTACCTGAAGAGACCTGGCCCGCTGCACAGCTGTGGTGTGACGCGCGCGGCCTTGTGGGAGTTGTATACCGGACTACATTTCCCATGGTGCCCTGGGAGACTCAGTTTCTGATGGCCGTGTGTTCGAGGCCGGTGGCCGAGGCTGAGTTGACTTAGCGGGGCCATGGAGGGTGGCTTCGGCTTGGATTCCGGGGGATCTGGCGGCGGGAAACTGGACCCAGGATTTATCATGGAGCAGGTGAAAGTGCAGATTGCCGTGGCCAACGCGCAGGAGCTACTGCGGGTACTGCGTACACCGGAATGGGGGTGAGGCGGAGAGGCTAACCCCGGGAAGCGGGCATTGCGGTCGCGGTTTCGCCTGTGTCCACAGAGGATGACTGACAAGTGTTTCCGGAAGTGCATTGGGAAGCCAGGGGGATCCCTGGACAATTCGGAACAGGTGAGATGTCTCGAGGTACAGGTTGGGGGTTTGAGGGTCTCGACCTGCATGGGGACGCGTCTGCGCGTGCGCGGGCTAAGGGCGCGGTCCGGGTTTTTTGTGTGCGCGGGTTTTCGGCGTGGCTGAACGAAGCTTCTGCTCGGTGTGATGGCCCGTGCTTCGCGCAGTCGCAACCCAAACGCTTGATACGTGGCTGCCTGTCACCCTATACAAGGGTTCCAGCTGAGCCATGCGTTCCCTCCTTCCGTGCACCTAGAAAATGCATCGCCACGTGTATGGATCGCTACATGGACGCCTGGAACACCGTGTCCCGCGCCTGTAATTCACGACTGCAACGGGAACGAGCCAACAACACGTAACTGGGAAGCGCTGTAGTAGCCGTGGAGCCCACCCGCAGTCACCCCCACCACCGTCCATCTCTGTAAATGTGTTTTGTGAGGCAGGGCTAGCCTGCCCGTGGCGTCCAAGCATGACACAATTGTAAGGGGACAGTTGAGCCTGTCCCTTGCCAACCAGTGCAGCTTGGGTTTGGGGGAACCCGTGCTTTCTTGTCAGCTCAGTGGATTTCCTTTGGGGCTGGGAGTCCCTGGCCCCTCCCCTAGTGTGGCCAGGTCAGCCCTCTGCCCTGGGCTGAAAACCTTTGTTTTGACCTTGTTGGGGTGGAGGTGGTGAGACTCTAGGGTGGCTGTGGCCTCCTGAGGGTGGACCAATAAATTGCTGAACCAGGGCCAAAGAAACCCTGTGCATTTTTCCTGGTTTGTTGGGGGGAGCGGTCTGGAAGGAGGGGCCACTCATCTTTTGGCCTCTGCCCAGACAGGGCCCCCACCTTCTCTGGGGCATCCACTGGTGTCTGTCTGTGGGCTGTTGGCTCGCAGGGAATGTGTGGGCAGTGCAGAAGGAAATTTGAGCTTGTCATCCCAGCACTGTGGGAGGCTGAGGAAGGAGGATCTCAAGTTTGAGTCCAGCCTGGGCATCTTACTGAGACTCTATCTCAAAAAGGGCTAGGGTTGTAGCTCAGTGTAAAGACAATGGGTTCAGTCCCCACTTCCACCAAAAAGAAAAATGCTCCCAGCTGTACTTGGAAAGATCACAAAGGCACAACCTGTCCACATCTCCCTTTGCCCTGACCACCTGCTCTGGGCCACCAGACGGGGCTCCCACCACCAGATAGTGGGCTGAACAACAGGAACCCTGTGATGGAACCCCTCCCCTCTCTGCCACACACCTCCGCCACACCCGGCCCCATGCAAGATAGGTGGTGGGATAAGGTATTTATGTGGAAGGTGTTGAAGCCCAAACCCTGGGGACCAGGACCTCAGAATGTGACCATTCCTGGCTCTGGTGTCCTTATAAAAACAAATTCTGGTCCAGGTGTGGTAGCGCACACCTGTAATCCTAGCACTCTGGGAGGCTGAGGCAGGAGGATCAAGAGTTCTAGGCCAGCCTGCAACTGTGTGAGGACACAGGGAGAAGGGACCATCTGTAAACCAAGCAGAGAGGCCTCAGAAGGAACCAGCGCTGCCACTCCTCAGTATTGGACTTGTGGCCTTGAGTTGTGAGGAACAGATGTTGTCTCAGCCGCCTTGGATGTGGAATTTCTTCTGGTGGCTCCTGTAGACCCATGCAGGACACAGCCGCCCTTCCATGTCCCCCCATTTCTCACAGCACTTGGCAGCTGGGAGTGCATGGTAGTCTCTAGGGTGGCATCTGTCCCCTAATGGTGGCACTCACAGCAGACACAGTGGGGGTGGTAGGTGGAATGGTCACCTGGCTGGTGGCCTTGGGTGTGGAGGGTCTGCTGCTGGTGACCCCTAGGGCCTTGCGGTGCCAGGAGGGGGGTGGCCAGCATCCTGGTTGAGGGAGGCAGCATGGGCAGGGTCCCCAAGGATGTGACGTCCAGGACCCAGCCCTCCAATACCTGCCAGGTAGAACTCGCCTGGGGTCTCCCCACAGGCTGGGGAGCCCCCCAAAGTTGCCCTATAAGATAAGGACCCGTGGGGTGTCTTCAGGCACTGCCAGCAAAACCGCCCCCCCCAGACCATCTGAGCAGCAGAGTGGCTCAGCCTGGCCCTTAGGAGACCTGGTCTTGGCCCTTATGTGACCTGTGCCAGCCACTTCTCTGAGCCTCAGGCCTTGCTTATGTTGTGAAGAAGCAAAAAACCAAGAGCTGGCTAGGTGGCGCATACCTGTATCCCAGCATTCTGGGAGGCTGAGACAGGAAGATCTTAATTCAAGCCCAGTGTCTCAAAAAAGAAAGAGGGCTGGGGGTGTAACTTAGTGCAAAGGCCCTGGATTCAATCCCCAGTGGTGAAAAAAGTTATTTATTCACCACTAAGCTTTTTCCTCTGTTTCCTGTCTTGTGTAGGGCGTGGATTTCAGGGCCTTGCACATACTAAGCAGGTACGCACCAGTGAGCTGCACCCCCAGCCCCCCAGGCTCCTAAGTATAAGACATCTGGAGGGCTCCCCTTTGGGTTTCTCTGGATGCTTCTGAAATCCAGTCTGCACAGGAAACCACCCCACAGGAAGGGTACTGGGGTCCTATCCATATTCTACCTGCTGTCTCCAGTGTCACCTGCCTGAGAGGAGTCCATGCAGTTGGTGAGAGAAGCTGTAGAGCAGATTGCAGATTTCCTGGTCCTTGGTACTCATGGATACCCTCTGCGGAATGGCAGGCTGGGTGGCTGCGGGAGAGGAGAGTGCCAAGTGCCACTCAGCAACTGACCACCACACCACAGCCAGCTCGGCACTGACCGCCCTGAGAGGACGCGCTGTCCCTCCCCCGCGGACCCACACATGGCCCCCACAAGAGGGAGGCAGATCCCAGACTCCCAGCCTGGAGCCCTGGGGTCTCTTCTTATCCCCATGAACTGGACGGGTGCCATTCTGGGGTCTCCACGGGAGCACTGACTCTGGCTGGGGATCTCTGAATGGTATCATGCAGGGTCAGCGAGCTCTTTCCATAAATATTTTCAGTTTTATGAGCCAGACAGTCTCCCTACTACTCAACCTGGCCAGGCAAGCAGTTGTGGACAATGTGTCAATGAATGTGCATGGGCCACATGCCAATAAAACTTTATTTAAACAGAATCCCCTGGCACCATGAGAGGTGAATGAGTGCTTCACAGGCTGTAAGACAGATCAGCAGAGGGCCCTGTGCAGTAGGTCTGGTTTGGGACCGAGGGAAAGCGGCCCATCCTCTCCCTCCCCGCCCCAGAATAAAGAGAATAAAGCTATCATCCTTTCAGCTGTAGCAGCCAGGCACTGTTCCCCTCCTGTGTGCTACCCCAGCCTGAGATCATGCATTTGCGCCCCACAGGGAATTTCTGGATGGCCAGCGGGAGGCAGATGGGCTGGATGTACTTGTTGAAGGCCAGGGGCCTGACCAGCTCCTACATGGCCACGTGGGAGCCCAGGATGCTCAGGTTGGAGTGTGGATGGAGCACTGCCTGCCACCACTGCCTTCACCCCGCCCCCGGGGAAGCCAGGCAGAGGTCCCCGGCCAGGGGCCCTTGGGCCAGGAGGGAACCCTGAAGATGACGTCCGTCTTGAGGGACTTCCAGGAAGGCCAAAATGAGGATGCGCACAGGGCCTTGCATGTGGATGGACCCCCTCCCCACCCATCCTGAAGACAGGCCGCAGGCAGGGTGCTCTGTGAGGCGAGATGGCCCAGGAAAACGACCAGGGGCTCTCACAAACCCTGTGCTTTGGCTGGCTGTGGTGGCGCAGGGCTGTGATCCCAGCACTCTGGAAGGCTGAGGCCAGCAGATTGGAAGTTCGAGCCCAGCCCAGGCAACTTGGTGACTTAGTGAAGCCTTGTTTTAAAAAATAGAGACTTTTTTGTCTATGAGTTGTACTCTGAGTAACATTTTGGCCATTCTTTTAAGATTATGGTACACAGTATATTAACTTGTTATTCTCTAATTATTTTGTTATGAAATTTTGTTTTATTTTCTTCATAGAAAAAAGTGCTTTTACAATATTTTCTTTATTAATATTTACATGTATTACATTAAAAGAAGAAATTTTAAAAGGGCTGGGAATGTACCTCAGTGTGCAGACCCTGGGTTCACAGCAAAAGCAAAAAACAATACTGTGCTTTGAGTCTGCTCTGATTCACTGCTCTGAGAAACCCCATTGGCTGTTTGACCCTGGGCAGGACACTTAACCTCTCTGTGCTTTAGTTGCTCACCCTGTCTCAACCAGAGGTGCTCACAGAGGTGAGTAGCTGTGGAGGGGGAGCATTCCTGGGAGTGTATAGGGCGTGATTGCAGGTTTCTCATTTTTCTGGTCTCTTTTCTGAAGGTCATACCCCAGTCGCAGGATGAAGGCCCAAGGTGTCTCTTGGTTTTTACGAGATCTCGGATTGGGGGCTAAGGGTGGCCCTGTTGGATTCCCTCAGGCTGAGAGTGGCCTTCCTGTGCCCAGCCATTCCAGGAGGCCCCGGGCAGCTCCAGGTGGCCCTGTTTCCAGGAAAGCTGTGAAAGAGTTTCCTGCGAGGGAACCAGCAGGAGCTGGGGGAGGAGATGCCGGGTGGCCCCGCTCTGCCAAGGGACCTCAAGTCACCACATGCTTCTTGTCCAGGTCGCATTTCCTGGGCCCCTGAGAGAGGCGCGAGGGTATGGGATTTAGGGTGCAGCACGGGCCCTGAGGAAGAAGGGGCGGAGTGCAGGTGGAGGGAGATGTGTGCCGGGTACCTCAGCTCCCTGCACACTCAGGGGTACAGAGCACGAAGCGTAGGCTCAGGGTGGGGAAGGGGTGCTGGAGCCTGGCTGGCCTGCAGAAAGAAGTTGGGTTTAACTGACTTGAAGCCACCACACTTCTCCTTTGGGCCTGACGAACCCGAAGAGGATGCCAGTGGCCCAGTGGGCTTTGAAGGGCGGGGTGCGCCCTCCAGCCGGACCTCCCAGTACCCCCAATCCCTGTCCTCCCAGCAACCAGGCCCGGGCAGGCACGGTGAGCCATGTGATACCCACATGTGGCCACCAGAGGTCGTCCTAGGCCGCCAGCTGGGGATGAGCCTCCCCTGGGCTCTGAGCAGTAGAGGAGGGTCTTTCAGAGAAAGACCTGGACGGGCGGCATGGCTGGAGAATTTACTGTCCAGAGGTCAGGGCTGCAGGGAGCCTGGGGCAGGGGATCAGCTGAACAGCACACAGTGCTCTTGGAACATGAGGTGAGGCGGCCGCAGAGCGGGTGTGGCTGGCCCTGAGGACACACAACTTCCCAGCGCAGAGTTGACCAGGTCCCCCACCCAGACCCTCATCTCCCAGGCTGGAGAAGGGCCTGCTGGCAGCTGGGGCAGCACCGGGTTAGTGTGGGCTGGGCTGTCCCAGATGACTACTGCCATGGCTCCGGAGAGGCCGCCTCTCAGCACGCCTGACACCCTCGCTCTGGCGGCGCCACAGGGCCTTGTTTTGGGGAAATATCCAGCTCTTCTCTCCATTACTTATGTGCACGTCCCTGGTTCTGCTCTGTGTCTGACTCCACGTCCTTCTGCGGATCCAGGTCCAGGTCCCTCCTCTGGCCTCTGCCCCTCCTGGCCACTCTCGCATCGATGTGATGCCACTAGCAGACGAAGCCGAACCTGTTGGCTCCCACGGCTGCCCAACTGCTGGGACTCAAGGGTGGCCATGATGTCACCCTGCCCCATGTCCCTGGCCCCAGTGGAACCTGGCACAAAGAATGGACCGGAAGTTCCAGTGCATGAGTGGAGGCCAGGGGCGTTCATCCAGTAGCCA